AGTGGTTTAAGCACCTGCCTGGCAAGTGCAAGGTTCAAAGTTCGATTCCTGGTACAAACCAAAAACAAACAAACAAAAATTTTTTTAAAACTCTCTGCCTGGGTTTTTAAGGTCTGATATTTTGGGAATAATCCCAGTCAGTGCCCATCAACATAAAATAAATCTGTCTCCAAACGCTGGGCTGTCATTTTGGTGTTTCTGCTTGCGATAGCAAAAGGAAGAAAAGATAATTTTAAAAATGAGATAAGAAGGGCTGGGGAGATGGCTCAGTGGAATAAGCACTTGCCTGGCAAGCGCAAGGGCCTGAGTTCAATCCCCAGTTCCGGAAAAAAGAGAGAGAGAGAGAGAGAGAGAGAGAGAGAGAGAGAGAGGAAACAAGAATGTTTATGGTGTCTCAAGGCCAAGGACAAACTGTAGCCATGTCACATGGCACAAGGTCCAGATAGTCAGAAAGGACATGGGAGTATGGAGTTTCTTACTGGGATGTGTGTGCGTGCGCGCGTGTGTGTGTGTTGGCTTTTCTTTGTTTTGAGACAGTCTCATTAATTTGCCAGTGCTGGCCTCGAACGTGGTCACTTGTGGTCCTGCTGCCTCGGGCTCCCAAGTAGCTGGGTCTGCAGGTGTGCACTGCTGCACCTGGCTGTTAAAGACTTCCTCTGCTGGCAGGAAAAAGCCACAGTTTGGACAAACAGTACAGATGTAAGGACTGAACTTCTGTTCAGGGGTTGAAGTCAGCTAGGCGTGACGGTGCACATCTGTTGTCCTAGCAGTCACGAGGCTGAGGCAGGAAGGTCACATGCTGGAGACCCATCTTGGCAACTTAGTAAGACCCTGTCTCAAAATTAAAAAATAAAAAAAAAGCGACGAATGGGCCATGGAGATAGCTCAGCGGTCTAAGCACCTGCCTAAGTAAGTGCAAGGACCCAGGTTCGATCCCTGGTACTGCATGCCTTGCTGACCACCAAGCCCAGGTGTGGTGGTGCATGCCTGTAATCCCAGTGCTGGGGAGGCTGAAACAGGAAGATCACTGACGAATCCAAGCTGCATAACGAAACGCTGTACCAAATAAATTAAAAAAAGAAAAAAAAAAAAAAAGGAAAAGAAAAAAGAGGCTGATGTCACTCAGAGTAAAGGCCTAGAGTACACACGTACACACACACACACACACACACACACACAGATTGGAGTTTTTGTTTTTAGAATAGAAATAAGCAGTGCAGAGCAAGGCTGGCAAACAGCACTCCGGCTAACTTTCCTTCTTCATCATTTCTGTTTTCAGTCTAAATCCGTGCTGTCCACAGCAAGTGGGGCAGCAGGGTCCTTTGTTCCTGCTACCAAGTCATGCAAAAGTCAGCCCTCCACAAACCATTTTCTATCTTAAGAAAGTGGTCTCACGTAATAATGTCTAAGAAGAGCAGGTTGGGCACAGTGACTCACGCCTGTCATTCCAGCTACTCAGGAGGCTGAGGCAGGAGGATCAGCTGCTGTGAGTTCAAGGGCAGCCTAGGCTACCTAGGGAGAACCTGTCTGTCTCAAACAAACAAAAGATTGTACCAGCGGAAGGTCCCAGAGTGCCACAGCTGACGCGGCCCCTCGCTGTCTCCGTCCTGGCTAGCTTTCGCTCAGGGTGGGGCTCGGCGCGCCCCCTGCCGGCCACATCTGGGACTGGGGCAGGGAAGCTCCGGGCTCGGACTTTCCTCTGCCGCTCCCGACTCTCGGTGCAACTCCGCTTGCTCTGTCGCAGTCGCCGATACTCCTTTGTGAAGCGCTGGGGCAGAAGTATTTTCCCGGCGGGAAAGTCAGTGCGGCGTGGACTCCGCCGCCCAGAGCAAGCGTGAAGCCATGAGCGCACAGGAATCCACGCGAGAGCGTGAGCCTGCACCCCTGCCCGGGTGCGCTCAACTGCAGCTCGAGGTCCAGGGCGCGGGGCTGAGGGCTCCCGGGTCCTGCCGCATCCCCAGCTTCAAAAACGACGTAATCCGCAAATGTCCCTTGGTAGGGAATTGTTTGATAGGTGTAGTTCTAAACCTGGCATGACATAACTATATAATCTGAGCAACAGATTTGAGGATAAAAATAGGTAATATGACAACCATTGTTAATTTGCTTTTTTTTTTTTTTTTTTTTTTTTGGTGGGAGGGCAGCTCAGCCAGCCCGGGGGGCAAGGCTGGGATAGCATGTGGTGCTGGGATAGAATTGTGCTCCCTGCACTTGCCTAAACTTGCCTAAGCAGGCGCTTTAGACCACTGAGCTATCTCGCCACCCCTAATTTGCTATTGTAACATATGTATTGTTGTATGTTACCCTGTTTCTGTCTTGGCCTTTTTTTTTTTTTTTTTTTTTTTGTATTTTAGGGAAGGGTCTACAGGGTGTTCTGGGTCTCACTACTAGATCGGACTTGTAGTGATCCACCTGTTTACAGCCTCCCAAGAGCTGGGATTACAGGCATGGGCCACCACGCCCAGTCTCAGCACGCCCCAGGGACAGGGCCAGTGCGGCAGGCCTGGGGATTGAACCCTGGCCCCTGAGCCTACTTGCAGGTGCTTTAATCCACTGAGCTATTTGGCCAGCCCTTGCCTTTGCATATGCTATGTTTTTGCTTTTGTTTATACTCTTCAAAGTAGAACAAACAAAAAAATAAACCAGGCATGGTGGCGCATGCCCGTAATCTCAGCACTCTGTCGGCTGAGGCAGGAGGATTCCTGTGAGTTCAAGACCAACCTGGGCTACAAAGTGAGCTCAAGGCCAGCTTGAACTGCATAGCTAGACCCTGTCTCAGTTGGGGGGAAAATACCGGGAGTTGTCCAGTGCTGACATTGAGCAATGTCGAAGGTAAGAAAGCAGTACTAAAATTCATGGTGCAGGAATTTTCTACAGGAGATCCCACAAGGAAATTGTAGAAATTACGCCCCAGGAGGGAGGGAGACACTTTTTCATGGTATTCCTGTGTGCATTCTTTGCTACCTGCTTGTGGCATGACATCTGTTAATCACATCAATTTTTAATGTAGAAACATTATGAATGCCCAGTAAGATCTTCTATTGTCTCTATTTATCAAAGCTTTGTAAGTTTTTAATAGAAGACACTAAAATTTCTTTATTGTTATTTTTGTCTTTTTGACACAGGGTCTCGCTATGCAGCTCAGGCTGGCCTTGAGCTCACTTTGTAGCCCACGCTGGTGTCAAACTCTCGGTGATTCTCACTGCCTCAGTTTCCCTAGCTGCCAGGATTACAGGCAAGAGCCACCACGTTGGGGCCGGGGAGATGGCTCAGTGGAATAAGCGCTTCCCTGGCAAGCACAAGGACCTGAGTTCAATCCCTGGCCGCATAAAAAAAAAAAAAAAAAAGAAAAAAAAGAAATCTTGGTATTGAATTGTTTTGGGGCCGGGGAGATGGCTCAATGGAATAAGCGCTTCCCTGGCAAGTGCAAGGACCTGAGTTCAATCCCCGGTTCAAAAAAAAAAAAAAAGAGCCACCACGCCTAGCAGTTTTGCTTAGACTTTTTAAAGAAAAATAATTTATTTGTGCTTGCTTCGGCAGCACATATACTAAAATTGGATCGATACAGAGAAAAAAAAATCATGTATTTATTTGGTACAGGGTCTGACTATGCAGCTCAGATTCATAGTGATCCTCTGGTCTCAGCCTCCGCAGCGCTGCAATTACAGGCGTGCCCGGTGTGACGAGTCCGGGGTTCTGGGGGCTGCACCGCATGCGGTACCAGGGATTAAACCGGGGTCCCTGTGCTTGCCTACGCAGGCACTTAGACCACTGAGTTATCTCCCCGGCCCTCACTCTTAGCTGTGTTGGTGACCTGCCAGCTCCAGCCACTGTATGGAATACATTTTTGTAAAAAAAAAAAAAAAATACAAATGTACTACCCTTGACCTCCAAATGAGAAAACCACCTGTTTTGGAGGACGCAGCTGTGCGGGGAAGGGGCTGGCCTCGGTGTCCTTAGAGCACTCTCCGCGCGACCAACTGCAGGCCAGCTCTTTCGAGGCCACCACGGTTCTCAGCGCCCACGCAGCGGTCGCCACTCCTTCTAGCGACGGTGGGTGGCTGCCAGCCCCCGGTGCCCTCTGGCAGCGCCCATCCCTGCCCCCTGGGAACCAGCACGGTTTCCCAAGCAGGGAAAAGTGCACGGCGTTTCTGGGTGGAGCGGGTGGTGCTCCAGGGCGTCCGAGGGGCTTGTGGCCAGATGGGGGGTGTCTCTCGGAACCAGCAGATTCAGAGACGCAAGTGCCCTTCCCTGTGACGGTGAAAGGTCGTCTTGGTGGCCTCGGCACGTCATCTGCCTCCCCCCAACCCTTTTCCCCCCGCCTGGCAGAGAGGCGGTGGGGTTCTACAGTCCGCGGATTACTAATCCCCAGGGCTCGGGGACCCAGAGACAAGAGGACCAAGAGGACGCGCAGAGGCCGGTGTCGTTCGACTTCGGGGGTGGGGGACACAGGGAAAGTGGCATTGCTCATTCCAGGCCTTCTCTCGGATGACCCTCCTGAAGGGACCCTAGAGGCGCGCGCCGTTTCTTCCCACAAGCACAATGGGACTTTACCCCTGCAGCCCGGTTTCGAAGGCAGTGTGTGGAGACCGAGTGGGGTCGGGGCCGTCGGATCCCTCCTGAGACCGCAGCGTGCAAGGGCCCTGCAGGGACCCGAGCACTAGCAGCCCCAACACTGGACCTGTCTGGAACCTCAGGGCCTCAGAGTCCACCCAATCTTTGGCTGGACCAGAGACCCAAACACGCGCGGAAAGAGTGAAGAGGGTTCGGCGGCGCCCCTCCCCGCGCGCATTCCTACGCCCCCGCGGGGCCCCTAGGGGAGCAAACATCCCAACTATCCGGGGGCGGGGTGGGCCCGGGCTCTCCCCCTCGGCAAGACAACCAATGGTCGCGCCGCTGAGTCCCCAGGGCTCCACCCACGGGCGGAACTATCCAATGGGAGCAGTGCTAGGACGCTAGGCCCCGCCTTTTCTGGGCGGACCCTGCCTATGGGAGCGGCGCGATCTCCAGCGCGGGCAGTGCTGGCCGCTGTCCCGGGGCGCACGGACGTGGCTCGCGTTTCCTGCGCGCCCAGCTCCCCGCGCTCCTGCCCCGCGCCACCTCCGCCTGCTCCGCGTCGCCCGTTGCCCCCGATCGGCCCAGAGTAGCCATGGAGGACGTCACGCTGCACATCGTGGAGCGCCCGTTCGCGGGGTACCCCGACGCGGCCGAGGCCTCCGAGCCCCCAGCCGGGGGCGCCCCAGCTGCAGAGGAACCGTCGGGGTCCGGCACGGAGGAGCTGATCAAGGCGGACCAGGTGAACGGCGTGCTAGTGCTCAGCCTCCTGGACAAGATCATCGGCGCCGTTGACCAGATCCAGCTGACCCAGGCGCAGCTGGAGGAGCGGCAGGCGGAGATGGAGGGCGCGGTGCAGAGCATCCAGGCCGAGCTGGCCAAGCTGGGCCGTGCACACGCCGCCACGAGCGGCACGGTGGGGAAGCTGCTGGACAAGGTGCGCAAGGTCAGCGTGAACGTCAAGACGGTGCGCGGCAGCCTGGAGCGACAAGCGGGGCAGATCAAGAAGCTAGAGGCCAATGAGGCCGAGCTGCTGCGGCGCCGCAACTTCAAAGTCATGATCTACCAGGTGAGCGCTCCGGAGACAGAGACGGAGCTGGGGTCGGGGCGCGGGGTCCCTAGCCACGGGCAACCTGTAAGTGGACACTGCGGCGGGCCGGCTGGGGCCTCGCGGGCGCTTGCCCGATATAGCGGATGATTCAGGGCTTAGGCACGCACGCAGGCGGGGACCAGCGCCCCGCAGCTCCCCGCGCCCCCCATCCGCCCCCGACCGCCCCGCCGCTCCTTGCGTCGACCATACCCCTGGGGACACTGTGGCTACGGGAGAGGGTGGGGCCGGGGAGGCCGAGCATCGGGAGCGCGCGCGGGAGGGGGGCAGCCGCCCAGCAGTGAATCACCCACATACCTGTGGGGGCGGCATCTAGCGCTCCCACTTGTTGCCTGTTTATTAGGGAAGATTGGCCCCAGGGCTTGACCCCTGCGCTTGCACTCAGCTTTACTCGCATCCCTTTATTTCATTTAATTTTTAACACTTTTATTTTGAGACTGGTCTTGCTAAGTCTCTAAATTGAGCAGGGTAGGATAAAGCACGCATCCTCCTGCCTCAGCCTCCCAGAGAGCTGGGATTACAGGCGTGGTGTGCACCACGCCCTGTTGACTCCTTTGTGTTGCGCCTCCAGGACGCTCAGCGCCCCCAGCTTGGAGCACTGCGTTGCAGGGCCCCTTTGTGCTCTGTTCCGCGCCTTTCCCTAAGGAAGGGATGGAAAGAAAAGGAAGACTAGATTTCCACACAGGCTGGGCTGTAAATTGGAGCCCTGCTCGGCTTCCTCCAGTGCTGAGATTACAGGCCTGTGTCCTCAGGCCCGGTTTCTTTGCTCCCTCCTGCTCCATCAGTGCTGGTTTTCACCCTGAGCTTCATCCCCAGCTCTGCTTTATTTTGAGGCAGGGTCTTTTGTTTTTTTTTTGCGGAACCGGGGATTGAACTCAGGCCCTTGTGCTTACGCAGGAAGCACTTATTCCACTGAGCCATCTCTCCAGCCCTAGCGTCTCTTTCAAGAAGGATTTGAACCCGTGACTCTCCTGCCTCAGCCTCTGGACTGCTGAACTACAGGCTGGTGCCACTGCACCCGTCTATTTTAGCTTTTATATAGCTTTGCTTCTCCCATCTACAGCATTATCTGGTGGAAAGTATTTGCCCAGAGCTCTTTCCACTTGATGGCTGCCTGGCAGCGGGTGTGCATGTCTCCCGCCCGCCCACCCACCCAGCCACTTTGGGAGGTGTTTCTCCAACCTGCCTGTCCCTGGGGCTTCAGGGCAGGAATACAGGGGTGGGCCAGCTCCAACTCCTCCCTAGAACTGATGAGGTACTGGCTTCTGTGAAGAGCTTGGGTGGGTGACCTTAAGACGGGGGACCTGGGAAAGTTCTCAGTCCCCAGGAGGTAAAGCCCCTGTGCCAGAGAAACTCTGCTAGATGTAGTGGCACGTGGCTGTCATCCCGGAACCTAGGATGCTAGCACAGGATGATCACCAGGAGTTTGAGGCCAACCTGGGCTATGGTGAGACCTTGTCTCAAGGGGGGGGGGGACTGAAAAATATAACTAGTTCCATCTAAGGAAATAAAGCTAGCTGGGAGGCAGCATCCAGCTCAGGGCAGCACTGACCATGTCTGTACTAGGGAAGACCGGGGCAGAAGACGGGGTTCAGTTGCCTTCCAGCCCGGGGAGAGCCCAAGATTACTGACCTGGCTCTGGGAGCAGTGACTGCCAGAAGAGGGGTAGTAGGTGGGGCAGGATTTGCCCACGTTGGGCCGCTATGGGGCATCTCCACCCCAGGTCTGCCAGCTGTGGGGACGAGGCTGGAAAGAGGCCAGGGTCGCCGCAAGTTCAGCAGGCCTAATAGGGAAGCCAGGCATGGAGCTACAGGAAAGGCAGGCTGGTGGGAGGAGGGACAGGGACCAGCCCAGGCCCAGGAGCTGGGGAGGGCACCTGGGGGAGGTGACATGGCCACAGGGCAGGGTAGGGGACAGCTTGGCTCTTCCTGAGGAACGTAAGTGTCCCTGTGAGCCCACGACCAGACCAGGCTAGCAGTGGTGCCCCGTGCACTGGCAGGTGGCCCCAGCCTGGCCACAGAGGGGGAAGCAAACACCAATCCCACCCATTCAGCAAGCAGGAGTGCATCCGACGCTGGACAGCACTGTGCCGCCAGGGACCTGGACTACCACCCGGCTGGGCCTCCTGGGAGAACTCTGGGGTATTTTTAGCACCTTTAGGTATTTCAGAACCCAGAATGGGAACATAAATGCTTCCTGGAGTACTTGGGGTTTCGTACTTTTTCAGCATCGTGGATTGAACCCAGGGCCTTTACACTAGGTGACATTCCCATTAGATTGTGTTGAGACGGGGTCTTGCTGAGGCTGGGCTTGGACTTGCCATCCTCCTGCCTCAGCCTCCCAGAGTGTCAGCGCTGTCCCAGGCTCTTGACAATGGTACAGGAAGCTCTGGAGGGAGGTGGCCGTGCTTAAGGCTTCGTCCTAAATCGCAGTGAAGCCTTTAACGCCAACCCCGGTGGGTCTGTGCCCTCTGGAGCCTTTGTCCACGGGCCCTCCCAGCTTGGGCTGTCTGACACCTGGCGCCTGTCCACCCTTCCGCCCAAGAGCTGCGTGCGCCTTGCTTTTCTTGGTCAGAGTTGATGTCGCCGTCCTGCCCATCTCTGAGCACAGCCCCTCAGTGACGCCAGCTGTATCTCCTGCACTGCGCGGCCCAGGGCACTGGCCCTGAAGAGGGCACGCCGCTTGATGACAGCTGCCCGAGGGCTTGGAGTCAGAACTGAGCCAGGGCTAGGCTCACCCATCCCGCACCTCAACGGAAGGGCCCTGCAGGGGTGGGGAGAGGTGGCCCAGACCCTGGCTGTCCTGGCTCCTTTCTACTCTGGTGCAAGGGTCACTGTGCTGGGTCTGTCTGTGCGTGTGTGTCGGGCAGGGTGTGGACCACAAGGACTGTCCCTGGGCAGACCTTGTATAGCCTGGGAAACTTTATTTGGTTTTGGTTTGGTTTTTGAGACAGGGTCTCCCTGTGTAATTCAAGCCGACCTTGCACTCACTATGCAGCCCAGGCTGGCCTTGAGCTCGTGGGGCTCCTCCTGCCTCAGCCTCCCCAGTGCTGGAATCACAGATGAGCGCCACCAAGCTGGGCACGAGGGCCATTGTAAAGCCAAGTACCAGCTCCCTGCCATGCCGCCCACATCTGCTCCTGTGGAGTGGCCAATTCGCTGCTCTGGCTTGGTGACAACAAAGGACTTAGGGCCACTGCTGTTGTCCGCTGGGCCCTCCGCCTCACTCCTCTCGAGGCAGGCTGGGGGCCCCTGGCTGCCCGCCAGAGATGCAGCCTGGTTCTGTGCCGTTTAGTGCCTGAGATCTGGGCCATGGGTGGAACTGGGGACAGGAGATAAGGATGTGGCCAAAGGGAAGCAGCCAGGGTGTCCCTCTTCCCTGTTAGCCCCAGCCTCACCCAGATAGTACAGTTCCCACTATGCCCTGGGGACAGTGGAAACTGCAGACAGGTGTGTGCACCCCACTTTCCATTGAGCCTCTGCCTGACTCCTGGTCCTCGGGTCCCCAGTGTGAGCTGGCTGGGTTGGGACCATGGGGGCAGTTGAGGACACTGGGGATCCCAGAGGGCTGCTTGGAGGCAGCATTTGTTAATCCTTGGCCTTCTCTCTCCCCTGGGTCCTCTGCATGCATCTCAATGTGGCTTCTTGCCACCCTGATCCAGAGTCCCCTCCCTGTCCCCGCCAGTCCCACTGGCCACAGAGGCCCTTTTCTGCTGGCTGCCCACGCCCATCCTGGCCCTGCTAAAAGCCCTTTTCCTGCCTTAGCCTGAGAAGAAGCCCAAGGCCCCCCGTGACCCGGCCACACCCAAGACTGTGCCCTTTGACCTCCTGCCTGAGACCGAGCCCTTTGACCCGGAGCCCAAGCGCCCAGTCTTCGAGCAGCTGCCCAGGACGCTGCCTTATTACCCTGAGCTGGGGAGCATTTAGGGTCCTCTGGAGCCATTTGCTGCCCCTGGTGTGTGCTGGGGTAGCTTGGCTTTGGGGTGTCCGCTTTGCTGTGTCCTCCTGCATGCTAGGTCCCAGTGGGGCTGCCTCTTGGCCCTTGGTTCTGGCCCAGAGTGCCCCGCATGACTCCCTGAGTGGCCCTCTGTCCCGTGCCGTCCCCATGACCAGCTCCTTGGAGGGGCGAGGGGTCCACAGGAGGCCTTGCCCCACCTCTCGCGCCAGCCCTAGTGCCCTCTCCGCCCACTCCCCAGAGCCAAGGAAAACATTTACCCTTGTTTTTTCCAGTTTCTCTGGAAACCATTTAGCAGAGATCCGTGTGTTTGCCGGATCCTGCCCTGGGTGGGGCCCTTGCTGCTGCCAGCATGCAGGCCAGAAGGGGCCGGGGCCCTGGCCCTGGCCCTGGCCCTGGCCCTGGCCTTGGCCTGCTGCTTCCCCAAGACTTCCCACTGCCCCCTTCTTTGGAGGTACTGGGATCGAACCCAGGGCCAGGGTGCTGAGCTGTGCCTCCAGCCTTTTTTGAGATACAGGGTCTTACCAAGCTGCTTGCTGCCCTGGCCAGGAAGGGCTTCAAATAGAGGTTGTCCTGCCTCAGCCCGAGTGCCCCCTGGAGCACCACAGGCCACTGTGATAGCCCCTTGTGCCCCACAGTCCACGCTCCCCGGTGGAGAACTAGAGGGCAGCAGAAGGAAGGACCTGCACCTCTGATGTCCTCGTTTCCCTTGACAACCTAAGGCACAGGTCCCTTCCTCGCTCCCCTGCCCTGCAGCCTCCATACCACCTGTCCAGTGTGCCCCAGCAGAGGTTGGGGACAGCACACTCTAGGTCAAGAGGTCCCAACCTAGAGTGTGACCCTTGTCCCTGATATTTGAAATGCGTGGTGAGGGCTGGGGACTTTTTGCAGTACTGGATTCACTTATTGGCAGAACTGGGGATTGAACTCAGGCCCTTGTGCTTGCCAGGTAAACGCTTATTCTACTAAGCCATTTCCCCAGCCCAGTACTGGATACTGAACCCTGGGCTTTCACAGAGCTGTGTCCCCAGTTCTTTCTTTCTAGACAAGTTGTCATTAAGTTACTGAACTTTCCCAGGCTAGGCTGGAACTTTTCGATCCTCCCGTAAGCTGTCCTCTTACATTGATTTCCTAAGCTCAGGGCTCCCTGGGTTCTGGGCTGGGCTGGTGGTGCTTGGCTGCTGGTGGGGAGCTCTGTAATGCCTGTTCAGACCTGGTCATTAAAGGTCACTAAAAACCCAGGCCGCCGGGTGTGGTGGTTTTGTTGGGTAAAAAGAGGGCAACAGTAAGGCGGGCCTCCCTCCTCACTTGCCCCTGTCCTCCAGGGGTTCAGCGCAGCACCAGGGAAGCTGGGAGGGGGCACGAAGGTGTGCCCTGGGGCGCAGGAGCAGCTGTCTAGCAATGGGTGGGCCGGGTGCGCTCCAGCGCCCTGAGTCACACGAGCAAGCCTGGGAGGGACTGGACGGGAGAGCCCTTTGCGGAGGGGGCTGAGGGGACTGGGGCCCAGCTGCCGCTAGCGGAAGCCACGCCCCGGGGACCCCATCCTGCAGCCTCAGGCTCAGTGGAGGGAGGCCAGGAAACTCAGCCAGCTCTGCCCAAGAGGCTGGGGTGCTGGGCGGGCCAGGAGACAATGTGGATCTGTGTGCAGGAGCTGGGACTGCTTCCCCAATGGTCCTCGTCCCCTTGCCCTCCAGGCTGGAACCTGTGGGAGGCGGGTTTTCCCCTTCAGTGCAGAGTGGGTGGTGTTGGGTTTGAGGGCTGTGAAATGAGGTCAGAAATGAAACTTGGAAGACAGGGCCTTGCTCTGTAGTTCAGGCTCGTCCTGAACTCAGTGAGCCTCCTGCCTCTGCGTCTCACGTGCTAGGATACACCATGGCGGACAGAAATGCAACTGTTGACGCTGGGCTACAGGTAAACTCTGGGTGGTGATAAAGAGTGTAGGTCCCAGAGTCCAAACATGCTATGCAAGTACTGACTGTGTCCTGGCAGGCCGTCAGATGCAACTCAGAAGCTGACCCTCCTGCTTCCCAATAGGACAACACCGCTTGGAGCCTCGGTAAATAAGAGGCAGAGGGACAAACCCATTACCTACACCGAACAGACCCGGCCGTCCACGGCAGGTGGAGACTACAAGTCCCAGCATGCCGTGTGCCTTGACCCCAGGGGCTGCTGGGAAATGTAGTCCTGGCTTGGGGGCAGCCCTTTCCTGCTAATGCTGTTGACAGGGAGGGAAGGAAGTAGGGAGGAGGTGGTGTTTCCAGCTCCCAGTGTAAGCCAGGAAACCCTGAGGAATGTGAGTGGAAGAGGAAGGACATGGGGTGGGGCGGGATTTCTGCAGCAGGTGTGCAGAGTAGGCTGGGTACGGTTCTGTGTACGTGCGCGCAGCGTGCCTGTGACGCAATGAGTTCCAGATGCCTATTTCCTCAGGAGATGGGATTTTCTTACAATTCCAGGAAATGGTCTTCAAAAAACCCTTTAGAAAACCTAGTGCTGGGCTGGCCGAATAGCTCGGCGGATTATGGGTTCGGTCCGCCCCCGGGGCGCGCTGAGACGGCAATTGAGACTAGACATGGCGGCGCGCGCCTGTAATCGCAGCTCTGGGGAGGCTGTAAACAGTGACACCCTGCCCTGTAGACCCTTCCCTAAAATACAAAAAAAAGAAAAGAAAACCTACTATAATCCCAGCAGTCTGGAGGCTGAGGCAGTAGAGCCTGGGCTACAAATGAGGTGAAAAGAAAAACCTCAGCGCTGCCTTGTGCAGTGCCCGGGCTGGGCTCGAACTCCTAACTCTCCCGCTTCAGCCCCCACGCGGGGCCACCCAGGGCCACCCAGCGGAGCCCGCCTCCGGCTCTGCGAGCCCTCTTGACGCCGAGCCAGCACTCTCTCAGGGGATCGCGCGGGCCGGGAAGGCGCCCGGGCGGCGCCCTCCTTCCTCCGTTCATGTCCATGTGCCGACGCGGGGCCGGGAGGAAGGCGGGGGTGGGGCCCCACGACGGTCGAGGCACCCCTTTCCTTCCGAGTCACCCTGCGCGCCCCCCCCCCCGCGAGGTCCTTAACCCGGCGGCGTCCGGCCTGCCCTGGGCGGTGTGCGATCTGGGCACGAGGGGGCGCCCCTCCACCGCCGGAGGTCCAGATTCGTGAAGCCCTCCGAGGGCGACAGGCTGCGGGCGCAGGGAGGGGCGGGGGCGCGGGCAGGCTCCACTCGGGCTCCGCGCTCCGCCCTCCCCGCCCCCTCCG